GGCATATCTTCTGAGGTTTTGCCTCTGAGCCTTGTCATATCCTGAAGGGTAGGAGCCCGCAGAAATGAACGCGTAAATCTCTTCCCACTTCTTCTCCATATCTACGAATGTCAGTAAACATTTTCTTATGAGCTTCAATATGTGCAGTTGACAATGCAAATAATTTAACTTATTAAATAACGAAATTACCGAAACAGCCTTAAAACACCGAAGCTGCGGACTCAAAAGTGTTGTGCAAATACCACGCGTCCAGTAACTTGACAGCAGACTTCACCGAATCTGCAAATTCGACAGTTTTGTGCAGAAAGCAGATAGCGACTTCACTTTAATATTGACAAACAATCACAAAGGCTTAAAAAATCAAGTATCAACGTCAATAAAAAGTACTAATACTTACTACTTACCTATTCTCCTGCAAATATGACAATGGAGTAGCGTGAAATCACAGCCGGATGCGCTTAGCTTCCCTTTTTGTGTTGTGCGCATGCGCGCACATGCTCAGGAACTACGGGTAGGACGGTTTACGGGGTAGGAGAAATTCCCAGAACACCGGTTCGGAGCCGAAAGAGCCAGCTCTTTTTAGTGAGCCGAGCTGAAAGAGCCAGTTCTCTAAAAAGAGCCGGAAATCCCATCACTACTCTGTACATAATTCAGTTTGTTACGATCTCTGCCTTTCATTGTTCTTTTATAGTAAATACTTATTATGCTTTGCATAGTGTGGGCCTTAGTTTTAAACAACGCTACACTAACTGAAGTGCTGCTGCTTTGCTTTTACCATCTGTTCCTGTTGCGAGGTTTCTTTTCCTGCTGCTGCCAGCCTTTTAAAGTGGACGTCGGCGTGGACAGCGGCCATATGTATGCCGGTGTTGTGCCAAAAAGTGATTGTCTGCCAAAAACTGATTTCCGGTATTTGCCAAAAACTGATTGCTCGTATTTAAACTGCTATAAGTAACTTGTTGGGCTATAATATGTGAAACATATGTCAAATGCATCCCTCATGGATGACATAAAGTCATCTTGAGCCACAAACAACATTCGTGTAACAAGGTAGAAGCCGCAATCAGTTTTTGGCAGTGACTTTTATATAACCTTTATTTATGCAGTTAAAAAAATCTCATTAACATTAAAAATGTCTTTTGTAAGAGTAAGTTGGCCAAGAGGACAGCAGAAATGGCAGCAAATATTACAATAGTTCTGTAAAAATATTTTAAGTGGGGATAAAGGACCGGATTGGTTATAATGTAAGTACAATAACACAGAGTTGTAAAGATACTTGAAAAACGATAATTTTTTAATTCTCTATATAACCCCTTTGTAAACCCTGTTCACCGAAGTCTATTTACGAACATACGTAAAGATATTACACATAAAAAATACACAGAAACATCCTATACAGCTTGGAGTAAGACAACATGCATGAAGAGGATGATGTGGACAAAATACTCATTTGCCTAATAATTCTGCACTCCCTGTAGGCCTTTTCACTCAGAGCAATAACTCACTAGGGAAAAGCCAAACCTGTATGTAAACGTTCCTTTGAGCAACTCCTCAGTGGACCACAGTCCAGCCCCTTTCCAGGAGACTGGTTTCAGAACCAGAGTTTAAGGTGCCACTTCGCCACATCTGGCAAGTATTTGTCAAAGTCACACATTAGTTCCTTTCCCACCAGAGAAGTGTCATTCCATGTCCCTGTAGCCAGTCACAGAAACTGGTCATAGACCACGAGGGCCTTCGCCCCCGACTGCTGCACAGGTCACAGAACATTAGTATCTCACATCTCAGTAATGAAGACAGGCTTAGATGTTACCAGGTTTAAAAGTGACTCATGTGGCAAAGTTTTCTTTTTATATTTCCATTTTCAATTTTATTTATATCTGTCACCTCAAGGTGCTTCATATTGTGAGGTAAAGACTGGACAATAATACATTTTGTAGTATAGATTTGTTTAGAGGCAGAAAAAAAAACTGTGTTTTGTGATAAAGCAGTAGTATTGTGAGAGTTTTTGAGCTCTCCCACATGGAAAAATTAAGTGCTATACATAAGTCGTGACAGTGACTTCATGGGGGTGGGAGCCAGCTCTCACTTTGCTGCTTCCACTCACTGTCAGCACCTGAGAGCTACATCACATTACTGAAATATAAACAGGAAAACAAAAGCAAATGATGCAAAAAAAATATACTTCATATACTTATTACAGTTCTGGTTGCTGCCATAGCAATGAAGACACATGGTTGAGAGTGAGAGTGCTGTAAGGTCGCATGATAGAGAGTGATACAAAGAAAAACTGAATAATGGAAGGTAACAACAAGCACGGGGCCAATAGGGCTGTACTACTGCAACCAGAGTATGTACAGTTACATTTTTAATGCTAGACAACTAGAGACTACCCCTCTCTGAGTCTGTTAGACGTCTCTTCCTGTTAAAAGGGTGCTCTTACTCCCCACTATTGCAGTGGATGCTCATATGATTGTTGGGTTTCTGTCTCTTATACTATATGATATTTGTGTTGAAACAGTTGAACATGACTGTTGTTGTGAGCTGATAAATGAAACTGAATTGAAATTTAATTAAGTACTCTGCCAATTAAGTATATTTGATAGCTATCAGTGAACAACAGATATAAAAATAATGTGTCAACTCACATTCAGCTGTCAGCTCTCCACATGTGTCAGTTTATCAGTAAATCATTGTGTTTCATGTAGTAAGAAACGTCTTAACTTTTTAATCTCTTAATCCTTTTGACTTTTTAGCCCATCCATCCATCCATCTGTCCGTCCGTCCGTCCTCTTCTTTTGCTCATCCGGGGCCGGGTCACAGGGGCAGCAGCCTAAGCAGAGAAGCCCAGACCTACCTCGCCATGGCCACCTCCTCCAGCATGTCCGGGGGAACACCAGGGCAGTACCTGTAATACCTACAGCGTGCTCTATTCGCTCTAATAGAATATTATGGTCAACAGTAAGGAACACTGCACTGGGTTTTGTTTCCCAGGAAACAAAACCCAGTGCAGTGTCCAGTGTTCCAGGAACAACAACACACATGCCCACCAACTCCTAATAATCCCTCTGCAGATGATCTGTTTGCTGTTTGACAACTACTCTTTCAAGGATGTTTGATATGAAAGGAAGGTTGGAGATTGGCCTATAGTTAGCCATTTCCTCTCCAGCTTACGAGTTATCTGCTTTAGGCTACGTGTTTGAGAATTATACCACGGAGTCAGGTACTTCTGATTTGAGACCTTAGTTTTCACCGGAGCTACAGTATCCAGAGTCGTACGTAGTGAGGAGGTGAAATTATTAACAAGATGATCGACCTCTGTTGGAATAGCGTTCAGGTAGCTGCTCTGCTCTATGTTGGTACAGGGCATTGAAGATAATAACAGTGGGTGGATTATATTCTTAAACTTAGTTACAGCGCTTTCAGAAAGACATCTGTGATAAAGTCTACTCTTCACCGCTGTGTAAACAATTATTGTAAATGTAAATGTTATCAGGAAATGATCAGACAGGAGAGGGTTTTCAGGAAACATTGTTAAATGTTCAGTTTCTATGCCATATGTTAAAACAAGATCTAGTGTGATTAAAGTGGTGGGTGGGTTCTTTTACATTTTGAGAGAAGCCAATTGAGTCTAATAACAGATTAAATGCCATGTTGAGGCTGCCATTATTAGCATCTACATGAATGTTAAAATCACCCACAATAATTATTTTATCTGAGCTGAGAATTAAATCAGATAAAAAGTCTGAGAAATCAGACAGAAACTCTGTGTAAGGCCCAGGTGGACGATAGATGATAACAAATAGGCCTGGTTTTTGAGTTTTCCAGCTGGGGTGGACAAGGCTAAGCATCAGGCTTTCAAATGAATTAAAAGTTTGTCTGGGTCTTTGGTTGATTGATAGGCTGGTGTTGAGGCAAGAGTAAGGCAAAGTAAATCGATTTGTTGAACAATTATTAATTCATGTACTAACAAAGACTTGGAAGAGAGAGAGACCTAGTGTTTAATAATCCACATTTCACTGTTTTATTCTTTGGTGCAGATGTGGATACTTTTTGTTCTTTCTTTGTGATTTTTTTTTTATGTTTAAGTTGTTTCTCCTCACAGGAGAGGCTGATGGCTGATGACAAAACACACAGACAAAACTAGGACAGATGGGACAGCTAGATGCAACAATGCATCTTAGAGGATGTGGAGTAACAGAAAATGCTAACTTTGGGGCTTTAAAATGCTGAGTCAAGAAAGCATCATGGTGGCTTTATCTGTCTTTTATATTTTGTTTATACAGATACAGATCCAGCTTTTCACTGATAATGAGGACCGAAATAACTGCCAATATCCAGCAAAACTTTATATTTTTGTTGTCGTTTTAATTGAGAGATTACATCCATGTGAATGTAACTATGGGCAACCTATAGCCTTAACCATGTTTTCTTTTATTGCAACCATAGAGACAAGGGTCTGCAAACTGTGATAATGGGCTTATTTAAAGCCAAAAATGGGCTTTACTTAAACCCAACTGAGGAGCATTTGTTCCTTCACCTATCAAAACTTTTCCATCGTCAGAAATGGTTTTGTTCTTTTGATTTCAACAGGAATTTTAAACACTGTATATATGGAACATTTGCAGCCTCTCTGCCATAAACAAATAATGTGTGATTGTTTAGGCTGGAAGACTTTAAATTATGGTGTGTTGTATTTTTCTGAGCCAGTTTCCTCCATATAGACAGCCTATCTCACTCATTTTGCGAAAGACAACATTAGTTTTCTTCTGGATTGGAGTTTTTTTTTATTACATTTTTGTAGTGCATATTAATGAAATTATATTTTGTGTCATTTTTCATGTATCCACTTGTTAAAAACAAAATAAAAAAAAATATCAGACATATTCAGACTCTGTAGCTGGACAGAAAGTGTCTCATCTCAGCTGTCTTTTCAGGGCAGTGTTCACAAGCCTTTATCACCTCCAGTTAATCAATTCACTCCAGAGGAAACTCCAGACAAAAGACACCAATAGACAAGCATCTCTCTTTCTCCATCCATGCAGTTCTACATTAGCAGTACTGGCCTTCAAGTTGCCTTGGTAACGCAGGTTGTAATCGTGTCTGAGTCAGAAGCTAAAGTGAATGTCCCTGAAACTTGTAAAAGATATTTATCCGGAAGGAGAGCAGTGAAAAAAAATACAGGCAGAACTCGGCTCCAACACAAAACCTCTGAAGGCAAACAGAGGAGCAGAAAGAAGGCAAGGTCAGACCCTTCCCCCAACGCCCCCTTCCACCCCACCACCGAATATCCACCTCCACATGCTCACGATTTTTAAATA